TCGACACAATTCTAACATTTTTGGCTCTATACACCACCACAATGGATCTGAAATGAAACAAACAAGATGTGCTTTGACTGAAGACTGTCGGCTTTAATTTGAGGGTATTTAGATCCAAATTAGGTGAACGGTGTAGGAATTACAACAGTTTGCATATGTGCCTCCCACTTGTTAAGGGAACAAAAGTAATGGGACAATTGGCTTCTCAGCTGTTCTATGGCCAGGTGTGTGTTATTCCCTCATTATCCCAATTACAATGAGCAGATAAAAGCTCCAGAGTTCATTTCAAGTGTGCTATTTGCATTTGGAATCTGTTGCTGTCAACTCTCAAGGTGAGATCCAAAGAGCTGTCACTATCAGTGAAGCAAGCCATCATTAGGCTGAAAAAACAAAACAAACCCATCAGAGAGATAGCAAAAACATTAGGCGTGGCCAAAACAACAGTTTGGAACATTCTTAAAAAGAAGGAACGCACCGGTGAGCTCAGCAACACCAAAAGACCCGGAAGACCACAGAAAACAACTGTGGTGGATGATCGAAGAATTCTTTCCCTGGTGAAGAAAACACCCTTCACAACAGTTGGCCAGATCAAGAACACTCTCCAGGAGGTAGGTGTATGCGTGTCAAAGTCAACAATGAAGAGAAGACTTCACCAGAGTGAATACAGAGGGTTCACCACAAGATGAAAACCATTGGTGAGCCTCAAAAACAGGAAGGCCAGATAAGAGTTTGCCAAACAACATCTAAAAAAGCCTTCACAGTTCTGGAACAACATCCTATGGACAGATGAGACCAAGATCAACTTGTACCAGAGTGATGGGAAGAGAAGAGTATGGAGAAGGAAAGGAACTGCTCATGATCGTAAGCATACTACCTCATCAGTGAAGCGTGGTGGTAGTGTCATGGCGTGGGCATGTATGGCTGCCAATGGAACTGGTTCTCTTGTATTTATTGATGATGTGACTGCTGACAAAAGCAGCAGGATGAATTCTGAAGTGTTTCGGGCAATATTATCTGCTCATATTCAGCCAAATGCTTCAGAACTCATTGGACGCCGCTTCACAGTGCAGATGGACAATGACCCAAAGCATACTGCAAAAGCAACCAAAGAGTTTTTTTAAGGGAAAGAAGTGGAATGTTATGCAATGGCCAAGTCAATCACCGGACCGGAATCCGATTGAGCATGCATTTCACTTGCTGAAGACAAAACTGAAGGGAAAATGCCCCAAGAACAAGCAGGAACTGAAGACAGTTGCAGTAGAGGCCTGGCAGAGCATCACCAGGGATGAAACCCAGCGTCTGGTGATGTCTATGCATTCCAGACTTCAAGCTGTAATTGACTGCAAAAGGATTTGCAACCAAGTATTAAAAAGTGAAAGTTTGATTTATGATTATTATTCTGTCCCATTACTTTTGGTTCCTTAACAAGTGGGAGGCACATATGCAAACTGTTGTAATTCCTACACCGTTTACCGGATTTGGATGTAAATACCCTCAAATTAAAGCTGACAGTCTGCAGTTAAAGCAGATCTTGTTTGTTTCATTTCAAATCCATTGTGGTGGTGTATAGAGCCAAAAATGTTAGAATTGTGTCGATGTCCCAATATTTATGGACCTGACTGTGTATATGTGTGTGTGTATATATATATATATATATATATATATATATATATATATATATATACACACACAGTTGCAAGAAAAAGTATGTGAACCCCATGGGATTACGTGGAGTTTTGCATGAATTGGGCATAAAATGTGCTCTGAACGTCATCTAAGTCACAACAATAGAAGAACACAGTCTGCTGAACATAATACTACACAAAACATTAGATGTTGCCATGGTTTAATTGCACATAACATGTAAACATTCACAGTGCAGGGAGGAAAAAGTATGTGAACCTTTGGACTTAATAACTGGGTTGACCCTCCTTTGGCAGCAATAACCTCAACCAAACGTTTCCTGTAGTTGCAGATCAGACCTGCACAAGGATCTGGAGTAATTTTGGACCACTCCTCTTAACAAAACTGTTTCAGTGTAGCAATATTCTTGGGATGTCTGGTGTGAATCGCTCTCTTAAGGTCATGCCACAGCATTTCAATCGGGTTGAGGTCAGGACTCTGACTGGGCCACTCCAGAAGGCGTATTCTGTGCTGTTGCAGCCATTGTTTTGTTGAATGACTTGTATGCTTTGGGTCATTGTCCTGTTGCATCACCCATCCTCTGCGGAGCTTCAGTTGGCGGACAGATGGTCGTACGTTTTCCTGCAAAATGTCTTGATAAACTCTGGAATTCATTTTCCCATCAATGACAACAATCCGTCCAGGCCCTGAGGCAGCAAAGCAGCCCCAAACCATGATGCTCCCTCCGCCATGTTTTACAGTGGGGATGAGGTTTTGATGTTGGTGTGCTGTGCCTTTTTTTCTCCACACATAGTGTTGTGTGTTCTTCCCAAACAACTCAATCTTGGTTTCATCTGTCCACAGTATATTTTGCCAGTAGCGCTGTGGAACATCCAGGTGCTCTTTTTTGCAAACTTCAAATGTGCTGCAATATTCTTTTTGGACAGCAATGGCTTCCTCCGTGGTGTCCTCCCATGTACTCCATTCTTGTTTAATGTTTTCCTTATTGTAGATGTGTCAACAAAAATGTTAGCATGTGCCAGAGATTTCTGTAGGTCTTTAGCTGACACTCTGGGATTCTTCTTTACCTCATGCAGCATTCTGCGCTGTGCTCTTGCAGTCATTTTAACAGGACGACCACGCCTAGGGAGAGTAGCAACAGTGCTAAACTTTCTCCATTTGTAGACAGTCTGTCTTACCGTGGACACATGAACATCAAGGCTTTTGGAGATACTTTTGTAACCCTTTCCAGCTTCATGCAAGTCAACAATTCTTGATCGTAGGTCTTCTGAGAGCTCTTTTCTGCGAGGCATGGTTCACATCAGACAGTGCTTCTTGAAACCAGTAAACCCAAAACAGGTGTGTGTTTTTTAAGGGCAGGACAGCTGTCAGCAACACATCCAATATCATCACACTGATTGGAGTCAAGGTTGGCTCACTCCTGGCTCCAATTAGCTCTGGGAGAAGTCATTAAGCTAGGGTCTCACATACTTTTTCCTCCCTGCACTGTGAATGTTTACATGTTATGTGCAATTAAACCATGGCAAAATCTAATGTTTGTGTAGTATTATGTTCAGCAGACTGTGTTCTTCTATTGTTGTGACTTAGATGACGTTCCGAGCACATTTAATGCCCAATTCATGCTAAACTCCACGTAATCCCAAGGGGTTCACATACTTTTTTCTTGCAACTGTGTATGTATGTATGTATGTATGTGTGTATATATATATATATATATATATATGTATATATATATATATATATATATATATATATTTTTTTTTTTTTTTTTTTTTTTTACGTAGCTTTTACTTTCTGACTCCATACAAAAGGGATAACTGGCACATGGTGTGGCAGTCCATGTATGTTTTGATGAGTTCCAAATGGGCAGGGGTAAGGGTCCAGTAGGCACTAAGGGCAAGCTGCATAGGAGCAAAGCATAACTCTGCGGAAGGGAAACAAAGAAACACATCACCTCTAAGTGAGTACTGTGAGGGTATTTAATAGAAAGATAAGTAGTAACTCACATATTAGAATTTAAAAACTGGCTCATGGGTAAGAGGGTGAGACATCTATAGCCAAATGTGTGACTGATCCAGAGAGGAGATCGATTGAGTGCGCCAGCAGGTGATGCTGTGTGTTAGTACAGCCAGAGCGATGTACGGGTACGTTGCTTTGCTTGTTGCTGCCGCCCGCCCGGCCGCAGTACATTGCGGGTGGGAAGCGGTTAAACATGCTTGTGGTTATGTCAAAAATGGTTCTAATTCTATATCTGCAGACATGTTTCTGGTTGTTAATACTATGTTTTCTCTGTGGACAGGTACTTGCTTGTGTTAATTTTGTATTACAAGTTTTGTAATTTGTAATTTATGACTGTGAGCATGCAAGTATTATTATATTGTAAAGTGTTACTAAACCCACAACAGATAGAATCAGAATCAGTCTGTATATGCAGTAAAGCATGCTTGTTATACTCACTGTGGAACCTAAGAGGTTAATCCTCTGCATTGTGTAAAAAAGGCTGTTTTGATCCTGTTTTCTCTGATTCCCCCCCCCCCTTCTTCCAGTGTCCCCCTCTTATCTCCTGATAAGAGATATTGTGTGGAGTCACTCTGCACATGCTCAGTTTGGTGTATATTGCTAGAGAGGTTTTTATTTATTTATTTTCTTGGGAAAGTGCATGTGATCAGCACAGGGCCAGTTAGCACTGTCCAGACAGAGGTCAGGGGTCATGCATCCTCCTAGAGGAGAATGAAAACTCCTACAAGCTTTAACCAGTGCATTGCTGGACACTGATAGAAGTAATAGGACTGCTCTAACTGCTGATGAGAAAAGGTATCTAATAGTTTACATTTACTAAAATAATTGCATTTCGATGTTCTGTGTACTGTGGAAGACCAGATATAGTGAATGCATGGTCCTGGATTTAGTAACACTTAAGTCTTAAGTTTTTGTTCTATATGTTTTTGTTTACACAAGGTAGCCTAGTAGGAAAAAAGAGTATATATCTGGCACTGTCTAGTGTGTCTGCAAACAAAATGGAGAAGACATGGACAAGAAGACTCCAGCGTGTACGGCTTTTTACTGTTTTACATCAAGCAGTAGATTGCTTTTCAGATTAAAGAACACATTTAATTGCTGAGAAAAATGAGTTTGTACAATAAACATGAGCTCTTTTTAGGGTGATACTCCTAAGCACAGATGTGATACATAAACTGTCTTTCATTCACCTTTGCATTATGTTCATTATGGTACCCTGCCATGCTTCAGATGTGATGATTTTTTTTATTTTTTTTCCTTTCCTTTGACGTTGCTGCCCAGTTTGCATTGCATTTCATGGCTCCTAACGACTGCTGTCCTTTTGTTCCTCACTCAAGGTTTTCAACAAGCTTTTAAGCCTGGCCAGCACTGCTTCATCGCAGAAGTTCCAGTCCCACATGTGGAGTCAGATGTTGGTTTCCACATCTGGCTTTCTGAAATCCATTTCCAACGTGTCTGGAAAAGACATCCAACCTCTTATAAAGCAGTGGGTGTATCCTTTTCATCCTAATTTTTTACTGATGTTCTTGTTGCCAGCCCTATGTCAGCGATACGGTAAAGACCAACGTAGAAACGAAGCCCAATGAAATGAATGATATAACCTGCAGAAGTGCAGGTCTATCCCTCTCCTGTGGGGCCTTTCCTGTAAGACTTTTTTGAAGGGTGGCATGCATTTTTTCCAGTAGAGTTTTAAAGAGAGACAGCCATGAATGGGTTTATGTAAGAATCTGCATTTTCAGTTTTAGGGTCTGTTCACACTATTGGGTTTTAGGTGAGGTGTGGTTAAAAAAAAAAAAAAAAAAAAAAAAAAAAAAAAAAACACAGTATGGTTGATGTCATTTCTGTTGATTTGTGTGTTAATTCTCTACTGAATATGTGTTAATTCTGGCAGGTCTCTACTGCAGCAAGAAACGCGTTTTCTGCCTGAAAGCATTTTTTTTAGTGCTGTACACTGAGCAGACAATATTTAGCTCCATGTACAATTTTGGTGCCAAGATGAATTCACTTCATTCCCATACACAGGAATTAAGACATCCCAAACTAATCAATCAAGACAGCAAAACCTAGAAGATACCTGGTTAAAAGATGTCAGCTTGGGTGACAGAGAAATGACGGCGATCAGGGCTGTCAGTGCTGCAGAGGTCTCTTTAGCAGTTAAATGTGCCATAATTTGCAAGTATGCTGTGCATACTTGCAGGTTATGGCAAAAGAATGCTCATTTGCTAGAGGACTTAAGTAGTGCATTAAACAAAGTTAATTTCCAACTCATGTATAGTGAAATGCACTCACAATACACTGAAGAGGTGTAAACCAGCCCTAAAGGTAAATCTTAACCCCAATCTGATGACATTTCACATGCTAAAGTACTATAGATCATAAAATTGCCCTTTTTCATAAAATACTGGTTTTAAACATATACGTGTGTTTTTTTTTGTTTTTTTTTATAAAGGCCATTTACATCTCAGTGCTGCTGATCTCTTCCAGCCTCTGTCAGCTACTAGGTGCGCCAGCACTGGTTGTCCCATCCATTGCTCAAGACCAGCTTGATGGCAGTTGCAAAATATGCCTGAGCAGTGAGGTTGAGCATGGTAATGTCTTAGCATTTTAAAATTAACACCTTTGCGACTGCCCAACACAGATGTGTGGGGGCAAAAGGGTGGACTTTACCTCTCACAGCACATATGTGTCACTGGGTGGCCGATGTTTATGTCCTGAGAGTGTGCTGACTGCTGTTGGTCCAGAGTAAAGAATTGGTAGCCAATGGGACCAGCTTCCAAACTTGTGATCATTGCGACAATCCTTCCTGCTCCCCCACGTATTTAGAACTGTTTAAAGGTATGGTGGGAAGGGGTTAATATGATTGTTTTTGTTAACTTGATATTATACATATAAATACTGCAGAAAATTAGCTAAAACTCACCCATTGTGCTCAGTGCAGTTGTGGCACAACCACCTGCAATACTCACAAATGCGGCACAGTAGTGTGGCATAATAGGGTTAAATCTGGTGGTGAGGAGGAGATATATAACACGCTGTACTCCACCCTGAATGTGACAGAGCACTTAGTAATTTCCCCCACAGTGCTTTTACTGAACTAAAATCATCAACCCTGTCCAGTTGTCTTTTGCTTAAAGTGATTCTAAACGTTTTTTGTTTCTTTTTAAATAACAAACATGTTATATTTACTTTCTTTGCATAATGGCTTTTTGCACACAAAGCATCCCTGATCCTCCTCTTCTGAGGTCCTTCTCTTCTCAGGTCCCCAACTCGCTCCCATGTTGGCTCTCTATATCCATATCATCCATCCATTCATCTGTGTATCCCTTCCGCTCCCTCCTCACTGGTTGTGATTGACAGCAAAGGGAAACTCTCTGAGAAGCCATTGTGTGTTGTTTTTTTTTTTTTTTTGTTTGTTTCAATGGTATATTTAACAGGGAGCACAGGAGAAGCTCATTGTTAGGATTTATATGCACTTTAATATGTATCTACAGTTGCACTGTACACGGGGCACTTTAATATGTATCTACAGTTGCACTGTACACAGGGCTCAATATTATGAGTTGCCTAAGCTGAGATATCAATGGCACTAACTGACACAACAACATCAACTTCTGAAAGCGCTGGATCCACATCACTGTGCTACTATTCTCTTTAATTTTTAAATCAGCCGATCGTGTGCTTTTTACATTCTCTGTTATATTTTTTGGGAGGTCCTTAACTCTGCCACCCAGAGACCAGAGCGGTGTTGTAAAGTTTTACGGAAGCTTTGCTTTTAACAGAAAGCGAAATGTTTTGGAATTGGAGATTAAGCAGGACTGCACTTCCCCGGGAACCCAGAAATATGTGGTAAGCCTTAGGTTTCTCACTGTGTTCTAGAATTCCATGGATTAGAAGGTTTTCATTACCTCTCATAGAAAGTGTGTGTGTGTGTGTATTATTATGGTGTGGAATTTTTCTTGCAAACTACTTGTCCAGGGACTAAAACTGTATCCCAATCTACTTGTCCTGATAAAGAAAATATACATTTTAACCAAAACATATTTAAATCTGCTTTTAAGTAATGTCTGGGGCTTTTAAAAACAAAAGGGTTGTTATGGTGACTTAAACGTTTAATATTTTTAACATTGCGCTGTTTATATTCTCCTCCCCTCCCTGCCTGTCTCCAGCACCGCACCCGGTGACTAGCGGGGAGGGGAGAGACCTTGCAGTGTAATGAGCACTGATTGGGTGCTCATCAGTTAAGGGGAGTGTCCGGCTTTCCTTTTATCCCTTTTGCTACCAGAGCTGGTTTTGCACACGTTTAAAAAACAATTTAAGGCCTGAGGATTACACAAAACCCCCAAACATATGTTTTCTGAAGTCAGAGACTCTAGAGAATACAATAGTGGTAGGTCCAAATTTTGTGTCGCATGATATTATCACAAAGGTGTAGGAAATGCAAAATTTCTGTAAAAAAATACACTTAAATTTAATTTTGGGGCACAAAAAGCAATAAATTATCCAATTTTTTGTAAAATATAAAAGGCGAGGTTGCATTGAGTAAATAGAAATATACAAGTCAAACCTTAAATTTGCGCTCATGGAATGGCAACAAACTTTAGTAATCCTATATTTTTTAGGTGAAGCTTTTAAAGCCCCTTCTAGGTCATCAGTTTAGTGTTACGCAGGAGGTCTGGTGCTAGAATTATTGCTCTAGTTCTGGCTAGCGCGGCAATATATAATGTGTACCACAATTGTCGTTTTCATGCATAGGCGCCCCAGTGCTTTTACGTTTGTACATGTGTGGGTGGGGGGGCCTTTAAAAAAAAAATGGTGGGGGTTGGGGTTATATGCTTGGGTGTAACTTAAAAATTTTTTGTTTTTACTTAACTTTTTTTTCTTCACATCGGGGACAAAATATCATCTATGTGATGTTTTTTGGTGACAGGTTCTCTTCTTGGAGATTTGCAGGGTCTAAAAGAGCTTAGGAGACAACGGGCGGGTGGGGCGGAGGCTGGCAACATATTGGGCTGTGTGGATGCAATCAGGCAGCATCGCTGCCGCCTGAATGCTTCAACCTGACAGATGGGCCCTGCTGCTTGCCTACAGCAGGGCGAAAGGTAAAAAAAAAAAAAAAATACCCCTGGCACCCGAAACTGCATGTCCCGGGGATCGGGCGATATAAGTTGAACATCCCTGGATATACATACACACATTGTATTGCCAAACGTATTGGGAAGCCTACCTTTACCAGCACATGAACTTTAATGACATCCCAGTCATAGTCCGTAGGGTTCAATACTGAGTTGGCCCACCCTTTGCAGCTTTGGAGCTGTCCAGCTTTTAGTCTGGACTAAAGATTAATTTTCATGGAGACAGTGGTCACATGATCACCAATCTTTCCTGTCCCCTTGAGGCATTATTCCTGCCACTGACACCAACAATGAAGCACTATTCCTCCCACTGACACCAACTATTTCTCCCCCTAATACCAAAGATGGGGCATTGTTTACTCCCACTGGGCACAGTCTGGCCCCCCTAAAGTCTGAAAGACCATAAACCAGTCATTTCTGTCCATCTGTATGTTTAAAAAAAAACCTAAGACTGGATTTTAGCTGAAAGTGACTGTTGATAGATGAAGCAATTTATAGTTTTTTCAATTTTGACGTTGTGTGTAATGATTTAAAGGGACATTAATTGTGTTCACTGTTTATGATCATTGTGAATCACACTTTTTTTATGTAAAGTTTTGCATCATTAAGAAATAGTATGTCGGTATTTATGGTGGCAGCTTTCCTTTTGCACTAAATGTTGCATCATGATTTGATCTATACCACTGTTTTTATGTTTCACCGAGGGGCAGAATTTTTGTTTTATTAGCACAGAGTCTTGGTTTTAATTTTAAAAAATAGAAGTGCCAGATGACTATTCCCTTGCTGCATATCACAATTCCATCCACTGGCCCTTACAGTGATTGTAAACCCTTACATATGCCCAATGAAGTAACTATCCTCAGGTGATACAAAGAGATTAAACAAATCCTCCTACATGAGTTGTACCTGTTTATCTGCAGCCCTCTTCTCTACAGCTATTCAAAGTGCAAAACGTATACAGCTTGTCTGAGCTTTTAGCAAGCCAGGGGCAGGGAGCTGAAATTCTGTTCTGCAGATTTCAGTGAAAAGAGCTGACTGCTATTTACAGGGAAAGGACACAACACTCTTCACACAGCTCACAAGAACTGAACTGAGGCTGTCAATCGCAGACTGTATGATGGAGGTCCTTCCCTGTCACCTTTTTACCTCCTTGGTGTCAGAAAAATTGTCAGAAGTGACTCTTGCAGATAGCAAAGGAACGAAACAGCAGACAGAAATGGCACTTTGTGCTTTGGATTGAGACAAGTACACACTATAGAGGGATATGCTTTGTTCATATTTCATGTTAGTGGTTTACAAGCACTTTAAATCATAGTAGGTGGATATCGATAAATGAATATGAAGTCAGATTCTCATTCAGCTACCAACTTACATCACCATAGCCTTTCCTGTTACATCAGTTGTGCAGTGTCTAAAGTACAGTACAGTCCAGATGGCATCAGGGTTAAACTCCATACTCCGCAGACATGGTTTGCAAGCCCCATTTCTTCCTCTGTAGTCTGTGAGGGCACTTGTGATGAGTTTTGTGGCTGCTACTCAGCTCTGCCGTCATGGAGCACTGGAGGGGAAGGGGGAAGCAATGTTTTCCAGGAAGATACAAAATACAGCAATGAAAACAACAAGCTGTATAAGTGCCTGAATTTTCCTGGGTATCAGCATCTTGCAGTCCTCCACACAACAGACCTCAGTCTTGGAGAGGGAGAAGGGAGAAGCAGGACAAAGAGGCAGTCAGTGTTTATCTGCTAACAAATTACATTCTGATAAGAGGAAAGAACAAAAGATAAATGCCTCAGTGGAGAGTCTTATAGCAGACGTTGTACTAAATGGCAAGGTGCACTAATATCATAGTGCCCCACCTATCTTAAATTGCCATGAAAACAACATTTTGAAAAATATACTTACCCTAGTCTGGCTTCAATTACATTTTAACTGCATTGACTTGGGGAATAGGTAATGAACATTTGGTGCAAGTGGCTTAACTCCTGAGAGTTGTAAGCTAGATGCAAATGGAAAAAGTTAAAAGCAGGGAAACTTTCTTTGAAACCCAATTTCCTGTGCCTTTATTAATGACTGTATATGTTTTGTATTCTTCCTTAGGGCCCCCTTAAAGTAACTGTTCAAGAGCTGGATGGATCTTTTAACCACACTTTACAGATTGAGGAGAACAGCCTGAAACATGACATTCCCTGTCACTCAAAGAGCAGAAGGTAATCAATGAAGACCATTAGTTCAGTCAGGGCCTCCTGTCCCATGTCTGCCCTACTCTTTGTTTTCATTTCCTTTGTGTGTTTTAAATATATAATGATATACAGCACTGCAGGCCATGCTTGAAACCCTATATTACGTCTTTCTTCAATGTTGATACAGTTTTAAGTGACTTAATAGCACATGTGTTTCCACTTTGTTGCCCACCGGGATCCTGTTCCTTAACACATGTTTAATCTTCTATAAACAGAAGGCAGTTTATACACATGAGCTGATCATAACCTGCTGTCTTAACTTTGAACAAGGTACAGAAGAATAATGTCTCCAAATTTGAGTTGTATCTGTTTTAAAGGAACACTTTGCTAAGCACCAATTGACTATAAATGGCATTCTGATACTATAACCATTTTAGACATTGCTTTTATAGAAATAAAAAATATGGATAGTAACAAGTTTACCAGTCAGGACCACCTAGAACAAAATTTTTAAAGTGATGTTAAAGGCAATTAAAAAAAATAAAATAATGAACGCACCATAGTTACCTGCTTTGTGCAGTGGCTTTGCACAGAGCAGCTCCGATCCTCCTCTTCTGGGGTCCCATGTCTGCTCCTGGCCCCTCCCTCCTGCTGAGGTTGCCATATTGCATTCAATTTTACAGAAAATTACAGATTGAAAGGAAAAGGTTGTTGTGGGTTTTTTTTTTTTTTTTTTTTTCCATTTTTTATTTAGGAGATTGTTATATAAACGGAAAGACACAAAAAAAAGGCCGCCATGCAAGGTGGAAAAATGAAACCACATTAAGAAGGAGCAACCATATAAAAAAAAGGTGGAATTACAGAACCTCTAGTGCGTAAGATCTGAAATAGTAATATTCAAATTCAGACACAGCGAGGTACAGAAAACATGACTGGCATGCATATAGTGTTCCTATAAAATTCCTAGAAACTTAGGAAAGGTTAGGGCACATATACTATTTGGACCATGTGGTTACGAACTTTCGTATGTAGTTCCTGATAGAGTATGTATGTTGATCATAGTAGATACATTTATTAAGATTTGTTATCCATTCAGAGAAAGTGGGTTGGCGAGACAAGGTCCATTTAGGTGCAAACAGCCTACGAGCTACAAGTAAAGCTCGAGAAACAGTAATCACTAAATTGTAGTCCATTGAAGATGAATCAACATAGCCTAACTGACACGTGAGGGGTTCAACCGGGAGGTTAATCCCCAATAAGCTATTTAGTGTACCAACTACCTAAGCCAAGTACCTTTCAGCTTGCAACTTTACCACAGAAGATGGATAAGGGATCCTGAGGGATGTCCGCACCTGGCGCAGCAAGGGTCATCCCTCACACTGATAGTGTACAAAAATCCAGGGATCCTATACACCCTATGCAAAAAGAATATCTGTGTGAATCTATGGGAGGGAAGAAAGAAAGAGGTATTTTTTATTTTAATAACATTAAAAAAAAATATGGCTTGTGTTGCAGTTATATATTTGTTTATTTTCCCCCACGAAAGCAGTGGATTTACCCTTTAGCTGAAATTTTCTTTACAGCTCCACTTCATTGGTGTAACCCACAGAGCAAAATGTTTTTAAATGTAGCCCCTACTTTGACAATCTTTACTGAGTGGACACAGCCTTTACCTGAAAAAGTGCAAGCCGGTCTATGTGCCCTAGTGCTTATGGGTGCAGCAGTCTCATTCATTTACTTTTCTAGATGGCCCCTGTAAGGAATAGCATAAGTTCAGGGGCTGGCTGAAACCTTTATCGAGCAAATACTGTGCAGGCAGGAAAGCACAGTGAAACATTTCTATCTCTATGTCCTCTTCAACACAGGTAAGCTTGCTATTGCAGCATTTTAAGGGATAAAGTTAGGCTTTACTCTGGGACAACCCAACCCAGAGCATTCTCACCTCTATAAGTAAACAATGACCAATGCAAATGTGCAAATGTTAAGAAAAATCTCTATAAATTGTTTGCTGGCTCTGTTGTACAAACACTGCTGTCTATTAGTAGACGTTTGTAGGTAGCATTTATTTGGGTTGGAACTGATTATGGCATCTGGTTTCTACTACCTTTTAAAACCCTACAGTGATTATTTTATTTATTTTTTTTATTGATCTCACCCCTCTCCTTGTTTTACTTCTTAAAAGATTGACCTGTTCAAGAGTTTTGTCCTTTTTCCTTCAGAAATAAAAAGAAAAAAATTCCACTGATGAACGGGGAAGAAGTTGACATGGACCTTTCTGCAATGGAGTAGGTTGATTTTTTTTTTTTTTTCTTTGCCTGTTCTATAAAATAAACATTTAACTCAAGTACTAAGTTAATTTAACAAGCAGTGGGAATGTGCCAGAGTTTTGTCCTGGCAAAATTTGCATGCTTAGAGCAACTGGGATCATGGGTCTCCCGGCTGTAATATGGAGATATAAAGAAGTATAATACTTTTAGGCAGATAGAACACTGTATCAGTCTAAATTAGGTTTGGCAACACAGAAGTTGCTTGAAGCTTGCCCAGAAGACTAAATGAACCCTCAACTCCAGGGGGCTTCATAACAGCCCTATCTCTAGCTCTAGAGCCGCTTAAGAAATTTTGTGGATTATTGAAGCTTCTGAATGTTTAGTTTTAAAATCTTAAACCTGTGCTGGTTTGCTCATTTTGTTGCAATTTAGCTTTAGTTACTTTGCCTTTTTTTTTTTTTTTTTTTTTTTTTTTTATATAGCATGACAGTCAGGAGTCCAAGGTCACCTGAAGTCTTGTCACATCTGTCTGACCTCATAGTCTCCCAATTCCTACTTAGTTTAGCAATATAATCTATGGCAGGGCTCTTTCATTTGACACAATTCTGTACCAAAATCCTGCACAATTTTAATAGTTTTAAAACTAAATTTCTTTCTGTTTCCATTGAGGGACACAGGAAGTCTTAACCTTTGGGCTATACTGCTGCTGCCTAAAGAGTAGACACTGGCAAACAAGAGTAAAAAAAACTGTAAGCCAGCTAAGGATAATTCCGTTTACCACTAGCATGCCTCAGTTGTTTACTAGTGTCCTTGAAGGACGGACATCTTTTCTACAGTTCTGCTATGGAAAAAAAAAAAGTATCCTTTTTTTTTTTTTTTTTTTTTTGCTTTTGTTTTTTCCTAACACCTTTTTTCTTTGTCTACCTTGATTTTTTTTCTTTTTGTTTTTTTTCCTTCAATCAACGTGCTTCTCTACATCACTACTTATGCTTTGTCTCTTCAACTGTGGTTTTCCAGAACAGTCATCCTCAACTTGACTTTTGGAGTTCCACTTCCATTTCTGCTGGGCTGGATGTTGTGGGAATAACCCAAGATGTGACCACTGGGTGCTTTTTAGAGTCCGTTTTGGTAAAAGATACAGAGCTGCTGGTATTGCCTCATTTTGCCCTGTCGCTGGTGATTCACTTAGTGAGTACGCCAGTCAGGCTGAGCACTGGGAGATACCTCATTATTCCTTGCTTATACCAGCTTTGTCACAGAATGGGTTAACACTGTGGGCATTGAGTGCTGGCATTGTCTGCTTGGTAAGGTGATACACACTCTGCGCGCTCTTTACTGCCTTTCAGTGCCTCCTCAATGCCTGTTAGGTGCTGCTATGCCACCCTCTGAGAAGCAGTCCACTGTGGATTACTTTCCAGAGGGTGGTATTTATTACTGCATGTCTGAAAGGGCCCTTATACTGGAAGGATCCCTTTCTGGTTTTGCATTAGGGCAAGGTGATTTTAAAATAGAAATATATAGAACTACAGTGTGTGTATATATGTGTGTGTGTATGTATGTGTATATATATGGTGTGTGTGTGTGTATATGTATATGTATGTATATATATATATATATATATATATATATATATATATATATATATATATATATATATAATTTTATAGAGTAAGGGAGGGCTATACCCCGTCAGATATTTTATTTATTTTTTTTTTTTTTTTTTTTATTCACCATCTGTGTCCCATTGTGAAAATTTACCTTCACTTCCTGTCCCATAGCCAAACAGGAAGTGAGAGAAAATCCCTGCAAATTAAGGCAATTCTTTGGGGACCCCCAGATCACCAGAACAAGTGCTCCTATTGGAATATTCCCCCTCTATTACTTTTTTAAGGACAACCCAAAACAGGACAAATAGAGAGTGAATCTACCTAATGGGGGCACAGACAATAAAAAATAGACAGGGCTTCCAATCCATCTCCACTCTATCTAAAACTAAAAAAAAGTTATGCCTTTTAGTTATACTTTAAGGCCCAAGACTTCCTTCTTGCCTAAGGTTATTTTTGTCTTCCACCTCAACCAGGACATTGTCCTTTCCTCCCTCTGTTCGGCTCCAGTTCACTAAAGGACTTTTGCCTCTGTTGTCTCCTCGAAAGGGTGCACCAGCTTCTCGTTTCATAAAATCTATTTGGCCCAGGCAGACCATCATCCAAGCTTATGTCTCAAGGATCGGGTTCCACCTTTTCCTGTCAAGGTGATCTTGACAAAGACATCTACTTGTAAAGGTCATCTACTTTAGTAGAACTGTGAGTTCTTTTTACACGCTTTTTGGCATCGGGCTACAGTTTCCCAGATTTGCAAGACTGCCACCTGGTCTTCTGTTTACACGTGCAACACATTTTACCACTTGGATGTCGCCTCTTCTGATGCCAGCTTTAGGCGTCCTGCCATTTAGACAGATCTTTGAGCTGCAAGCAGTCCCCAGTTCTGTTTTTTTTGTGGATCTCTTAGTGTATTGTTGCTGTTGCCTACCCTTAATTTGGACACAGATCCCACATTCTCTGTGTTTGTTCATGGTTTCAGTACTGCTTTGTTACAAAACTGAAACATTGCCAGTGTCCAGTCCTTTTTATTGGGCAGCAGTATAAGCCAAAGGTTACAAACTTAATTTGTCCTTTAATGGTCTACAAGGAAAGGATTTTTAATTGAGTACAAAAGTTTTATTTATATTTTTGCATAAGCATGACAAAAAAAAGGAGCAGATCGCAAGGTATGAAAATCTCTTATGGATGCATGCAATGTCCTGGTTTTCACAATCTGGAAGAATTCGGTGTCTCCTTTATAAGAGTGATCCATATGTTAGTGATATGTTGTGTTTCATTAGGTGGTCTTTCCCTGTTCTTTTGCTATAATAATCACTACCACATGGATTTTTATCTTCTAAGATCAGTAACATCTGTGCAGTCATGGCTTTATATATGAGATATAGGTAGGTTCAGGCCCAGACTGGTCATAAGGCACACTGGGCATCTGCCCGGTGGGCCAGGGCCACCTGGTTCATGGCCTGTTGGTGACCGGCTACATGGTGAAAAGTAAACCGCAGCCGCTACCTGCGTCCCGTGGTCGCCGCTTCCCTCCTGCTTTGTGACCATTCCTGTGTCGGCTCTTCCACGCAGCCAACAGTGTTGTTTGGGACCAGCAGGCTGGGTGGGTGTGGCTATACCACCTGGAGCTCCAGACTGATGTCTCTTCTAATGGCCATTGACACCTCAGAGGAGGCTGAGAGCTGTCTCATGTATCCTGTACAGCTAATAGAGGTGGGATGGGTGCCCAGGCAAGCATCTGTCATTGGCAGTTAGTGAGTAATGTGTGTGTATATATTTGTGTACAATGTGTGTTTGTAAGTGTGTGTGTACACTGTATGTGTATGATCTATCCCATCACAGGTAAATGTCTGCGAGCAATATCCATCTGTACTATCGCCCATGCCATGTATGAATGTTAATTCACCCTGCACTCCTCTATGGTAATCTATTATCCTTTTAAAATCCACCTCTAACTGGAGCTGATTCATAACTATCAATGTTCTTATTGGTCATTCTTACTGCTTAAAAAAATCTTTAACTCTGGTCCATATTACTGTGGTGTTTAGTTTGCGCTTATTGTCTAGCCCAAATTTATGAGCTGATCCTAATCTTTACAACTCTGCTCTCTCTTGTAGTCCTCCTTTTAGTGTGATAAGTTTGCCCTGCTAGCCATGTGTCTCTGCTATGCGTTCCTAATTGATTAATTGGCAATACCCCCACCCAACTCATAAATAAAATTTAGTCCTTGCTTAGGGGAGGCACAGCCAGGGGTAGCATTGGCAACTATAATCATGGATAAAGTATTAATCTTGGATCAAGTATTGATCATTGCACTTTGGCTCTGCACTTCAGCGACTGCACAAAGCAAGAAACCACAGCAGACAACTTCAAATACTAAACAGACTACAGGTGACCTGTTTTCCTTCATTTCTTATCCAGTCTGCTTCTTCATCTCACCACTCTGTAACATGCACTACCTACTCCTCCTTCTCACAGTTGTATCCTCTCTCTTCAAACTCTCTCTTCTCCACCCCACAGCGTGTGTGTGTATGTGTATATATATATATATATATATATATATATATATATCACCCTCACTCCTGTTTTGCACCTTACTACTGTACTCATCAACTCCTGCTTATTTCTGAACCCACATACTAATAAAACCTCCAGGACACTGGAACCTGTCCCTGCATTTGTGTCATTCTCCCACATTACCTCCCTCACCATTCTGCTTCTCCTAACATCTGGAGACATTTTGCCAAATCCTGGGCCACCATCTTTTTCCTTTGATCAACACACCCAGCACCCCCCTATCCTTTAACAGCAGCCTCAATCTACACAATCTAGTTACTATTCCTCTTCTTCCTAGAATCAGCCTCCCCTTTTTATCTGTGTCCTTTGGAATGCCCGCTCTGTCTGTAACAAACTCACCTCTGTCCATGACCTTTTTATCACAAACTTCTTTAACATACTTGCAATTACGGAAACCTGGCTTCATGAATCTGACTTTCCCTCTCCTGCTGCCCTCTCCCCCATGGTGGTCTCCTCTGGACACACTCTCCCAGGCCTAGTGGACGGAAAGGAGGTGGAGTTGGAATCTCCTATCCCCTCCAAAGCACTTTTCAGGTTCTTCATTCACCTCCCTCTCTGTCCCTCTCCTCATTTGATGTTCACTCTATTTGACTATTCTCTCCATTTTCTTTAAGAATTGCTATGATCTACCGACCTCCTGGACCGGTATAAAGCTTCCTTGATGACTTCTCTCCTGGCTGCCTTACTTTCTCTCTTCTGAAATTCCCACAATCATTCTTGGTGACTTCAACATCCCTGTCAATCTTAACACTCCTGCTACCTCTAAACTTCTGAGCCTAACCACTTTTTTTTTTTTTTTTTACTAAATCAATGGACACATGCTTCTACTCACTCTAATGG